ACAAACAAGGATATTTTAAAAGAGGATTAGCAATTTTTTAACCCACAATTAGGCTGGAAGGAATAGATCTTCTATGGATGCTGACCTTCTGGTAAATACTTTTATCTTTCCCACAACAATGGATGAATGTTGTGTCTTTTTACCAGATTTAAAATCTGAAACTTTAAGAAAATGCAGTATAATGTAAATATGGATGTTTTATATATTTTATGATTGTGTGAATGAGGGCACATGTGCCTGTTTGTGTTATTCTGTACTGTACTCCAGTACAGTTGTCTGTGAAGGTGAAAAGAGATCACCCTAACCACTAAAGCTGAGTTTACAGGGGTTGTTTGCGGTCTGATGTCTGTGCTGGGAATCCAACTCCAGTCTTTGCAAGAACTTTGCAGGTGTTTTTCATTGTTGAGTCCTCTCAGTAGCTGCAGGAGGAATATGTTTACAAACATTTTCAGGTAATAGTAGTTTTTGGAGACAAGGTCTTACTATATAGACCTCCATGGCATAGAACTTGTTGTGTAGATCAGACTGATATAGAACTCAAAGACAGTCCCCTGCCTCTGCCTCCTGAATCCTGAGGTTTAAGGCATGGGGAATGGGCTGGTTGAGTTAGTTAAGCAGCTAAGAGCACTGGCTGCTCTTCCAGGGAACCTGTGTTGGATTCTTAGTAGCCACTTGGCTGGCCACTACTCTCTGTGACTCCAGTGCCTGGCCCCATTCCTTCTTCTGCAGTTGTGGAGATATCTTGCTGAACTCCATTTCCCCAGAATGCTCATGATGCAAAGACATACATGCAGGCAAGATACCTATACACATAAAGGTCATTAAAACTTAAGAATGAATGCCAGGGACCACCACAAAATGCACAAAAGCACAGGAACCACCGCTGTGCTTCTTGTAGATTTTTACATTTCGTATTTCTCTAAGTGGACACAGGTGGTGTTTCTTCCAGGTTGTTCACACTGTGGACTTCAAATATCGATGAACTCTTCATTTCCTGTGGCATCTATATCCACAGCAGAGTCCTGTACACTGAGTGTGTGCTGCGCTTATATGAATAGTTTTAAAGGAGAGTATGGTTTGACTGAGTCCTTAGATATTTCAGTATTCACTCGTTTAAGTAAAAACTGTCAGAAACTCGGTTGTCAGTATCACCACGTAGGCCCCTAAATATCGCAAGCAGAAGAACTTGGTAAATATATCTTGACAAATTTGAATTTCAAAACTACTAATGTTCTCTTGGGTTTTATTCACTGACCTGGCTGACTAGGAATGGGTATTGGTGGGCTATGGATTGGTTCACAGAGTATACTAGACGGGGAAGAGAATATATTCCTTAACTGTATTCCAAAGGCTCACAAAGTGGGCAGGAAGAAAAGGAGAGCCAACGGTTGCAAATGGGAGTGACAGCAGGTTATCTACTGAGGACAAGTTCTTGCTTTCAGTACGTTTCTTTATGTGCAGTGTCCTGGCATACCATTCAGTCCTTGGGGACAGGAGTCCAGAGATGCAGATGTGACAGAGTTTTTGGGAGGTGAGCACGAACCACAGCCCGCGTCATTCTCAGTGTAACCAATTCTAATTTTCTGCCGCTGACTATTTAAACGGGAATGGATTCCGTGAAGTTCAGGCTATCACTTCTTATAACACAGGTTACCCCATTTTTTTTACTTAAAAACATTTCTAAGAATGTATTTACAAACTTCTTACACTAGAACAGGAGAAGTTGGTTATGTGCCTCTCATCACGGCGTCTCAGAAAAACAGGCATAAATATCAAGAGATCGAGACCATCCACAGCTACAACGATAACCACAAAAAATGCACACAAATAAATGTGCACTTCTGCCTCTATGTGTCACTCGCTGAAACCCTGACAGCTCTTATAGACATGGATAAACGGACATCCTTTAAAACTTCTCAGAAGACTTCAGTGTCGTGGAAAATGCCTGTAATGCCAGGGCTTGGAAGGTAGAGGTGGTAAGGTCAGGAGATCAAGGACAGGAGACTCCTGATAGAGGAGGACACACAGGCCCAGTCTGAGCGAATCTCCAGGGAATAACCCGGGGAAAGCCAGGAAACTGTTGTGAGAAGGGGTGAGGGATGACCTGAGAACTCTAGTTTATTATCAAAGTGAAATAGGAAAATTTAATGGTCGGGGGCGGGGTGTCTGTCCTCTCTCCCTATATTTAAACATGAACATCGTGTCAGGATCCTAAAGATGAAACTAGAGACTCAGAGTAGTGCGTCACTGGGCCTGTTTCCTCCTCTTCCCACTGAGGCCACATCCAATAAACACCCTTTCTCTGCTTTTCACTGTATTTGTGTAGTTACTTGCCCTGTTGTGTTGGCCAATCCTAGATTATTACACCTGTCAGAAAACAGACTTTAACCCTAAAATGTCTGATGATAACAGCATGGAGCATCCTTGGCCAAGGGTCCATGCCTTTGTGAGACAGTGAAAGAAACACCTCTGTTATCAGAAACAGGGGACACTCTGGGAGAATGACTCCACACTCATACTCAGCAGTGTAGACAGGTCTCATTCCCTGTAGATACAGGGAAAAAGCAGATGAGCCCACCTCCTCGGGATGGAGGAAAACAGGACAGACAGCCACAGTCCATTGGAATGTATGGGTTCCACTTTCCAAGTTCAGGAACAGCTGTGTGAAATAGGAGGTGATGACCAGATATCTCTAAAAAATATCAGCAACCAGAATGGGGGAAATTTTACAAATCAGAATGAGGAAAGGCCCTGAGTTCCTAAAGTAGGATTAGGGCATTTATGGAGGACCCCCATCCTGGGAGAAGGAGATGCCAAAGCTCTGTTAAAGTCATCCCCCAGAATATCTCCTTAGTTCTAACAGGAACATCCATTTAAAGAGCACTGGATATATGACCAGTGATTAAAATCACTGCCCACCCTTCCAGGAAACCTGGGTTCCAATTCCCAGCACCCAACCAGGCTCTCACAACCATCTCCTATAGTCACAAGTTATCCAGAGATCTTCTCTACCATCTACAGCCACTAAGCAAGAACATTGTACACAGAAACACATTCAGAAAAGAAATTATACACAAATAAAAATGAATCAGGCAGTGGTGGTGCACACCTTTAATCCTAGCTCTCAGGACTCAGAGGAAGGCTGATCTCTAAAATGTAGGCCAGGTATGCAGGGGACCAGCCTCAGAGGAAAGGGCAGAGAAATAACATAGCGGGAGGGAGTCCAGACTGGTCCTCATCCACTTTATAACTCTGGTCTTCAGGATGATGCTTCTCTAAGATTCCCAGTGGCAGTGGCAGAGCCCTGGTGGGTTGAGTCATGGAAAGATTAACTACCATGAGAGGAATCTCTAGAGTCCTGCTTCCTGGCCTCAGACCCAGCTCTGGGGCCTGGTATCCTGGGAGCAGTGTCTGGGGACAAGCTGCTTACTGTGATCCCAGTACTGGTCCTGTTTACAACATCCCTCTGAGTTCCAGTGCTAGTCCAGATGCTGATATAGATGTCAGAATCAAGGAAGGGAAGACAATGACGTCAGAATCAAACAAAGAATTGAGACCAAATGTAATTCCTACAGAGCCAGGAATGTACACATCCCTGGATGGAACATCAGTCTAAAGCCTGAAGAGCCTGACTGCCAACATGACAGAACAGCACGGACACTGGACAGACACAGCCAATGCCTGAGATCTTCTGACCGCATGTCTTGTCGGAACAGGTTTATTCAAAGAACGGGGATTAGGATCACAAAGGAGGGAAGGAACTAGGAGAAAGCCCAAGGTGGAAGGAGCAACAATTTTGCACCCACAGGCTCCACTGTCACAAGAAACAATCCAGTTAGCACAGACCACAGGGTTCCATAAAGTTCTATGTGAGACTTTATTTTCTCCATCAGGTTTTACTCATCTTTAATACACTAATCAAACACTCAATGTGAAAGAAGTTGCATAACCATAAAAAAGATGCTTAATTTCAAGAAAGATGCATTAAGTGGTAGCTCAGAAAACTAAGGTTCAGTCAGGAATTGAGGTTTATCGGCCCAGCCTCTGTTGGAACAGCAATGGTTACTGGGGAAGGAGTGATGATCAGTGTGTGGATGGGACTTGTCACTGCTCAGGGCAGGGCTGCACTCATCACCTGGTTACATTGTACTCACAGGAGATAGACACATAGTGACAGTCAGATGTAGGAAGAGAAGTCATCAGTTCTTGAGGCCACAGTGAGAAAAAAGAAAACAGAGCAAATTCTGCCTGTTAGGCTCAGTCCTCTGGTCTTGCTATGTAAAAGGAAAAAAAACGAAGAAATTCATATACTGTCTTTAATGGTGACATTCTGAACAGCCTATCACACCTTCAAACTGTCCCAAGATTCCCCATGCCTCAGGGCTCTATCCGCGGACCTCTCCCTGTCACACACCAGGTCCTTTAGGGTGTCACTTTTTAAAGTTGTAGCACAAGGCTGGACATCCTAGGAACTTTGTCTCCTAGTGGATACAAGAGTGGGTCTCCTCTGAAGATGGAACTAAATGAGGAGGTGTGGGCTCGTTGAGAACCTCCATGGTCTCCTGAGTACACTGTCACAGGTGTCTCAGGGATGAACCCCCACTTAAGGGACAAGCAAGCCTGAACATGACTGCATAACACTATACCCTGGGAATAATCCCTTTTATTGGAGCTCATGGAAGCATTAGGATCTAGAAGGCCTAGAGGAATCTCCTGATCCTTATCTCAAGGACGTTTCCAGAACTGTGAAAGCAGATCCAGAGAAAGATGAGGAAACATGATGGAAGATTGCACATGAAGGGGACTAACTGGACTCCTGCATATCTGTTCTCAGTAGGAACCTTTCCATCTGACCTCTGAGAGCTGAGGACCCGGTCTCTGCCCCCTCTATCACTGCAGTGATGAATCTGTTCGTTATTTCATTCATGCTTCACAATGGGGTTAATGTCAGCTCATCAGCACAAGACAGAATAGGCCACTGTGCGGGTGAAACTTTGCTCTCATATGGCAGGGCACACTCTCAGCTGGGCTCGATGTTCCCATAGAAACATGAACTCAGACCCCACCCTTTCCTTACCTTTGGTCCTCCTCTTCCATATCAGAAAAGTCACCACAGCTCCCATGAGCACAGCTCCAAGAACCAGGCCAGTAACAATTGTCATGATGGGGACAGAGGGCTTAGGAGGCTCTGAGGGAAGAAGGGAAGGAACAGTGATGACTCTGACCTCCAGCTGCCAGTCATGACCCTGGTTCAGTTCTCCCAAGAACCCCACTCTCTCTGTGATCCCTCTGTGCTTACATCTATCTACACCTTACCCCATCTCAGGGTGAGGGGCTCAGGCAGCCCCTCATGATCCACATGACATGTGTATCTCTGCTCCTCCCCAGGAGGCACTACCACATCTGCCCACTTCTGGAAGGTGCCATCTCCTGCAGGCCTGGTCTCTATCACCTCCACGTCCAGATTCTGGTTGCTCCCATCCCTCTGCCAGGTCAGGGTGAGCTCAGCATGGTAAAAATCCAGGGCCCAGCACCTTAGAGTGATCCTTCCATCAGCTCTGACCTTATGGGTCACATGTAGTTTCGGAGTGTCTGAAGGGATTAAATTGGACAATTCAGGTATTTCACATTCTCTATGGAGATCCATGAATGTTCATGTAACCTTGTTTTGATAATTGGGGCAGTTCACTAGAAAGAGATGCAGACCTCATGTATCAGCCTAATCCCAGGATACGGATGGGATCACCTATTCCTTGGAAAGCTTCAGAACCCACATAAGCCAGCACAGAGAAGGAGTATCTGGGTATCTCTCTAGGAATATGGACTTCCGATTCTGACTGGATGGGGCCTGAGACTCAGCAACACTGGCCTTTGATCACAAATGTACATGGACAGTGAACAGTCCTTACTGAGGCCAGATTCAAAATGCAAACAGAAGGGAACTGCTGCCTGATTGACAGACTGAACTTTCCAGAGAGTAGACTTGTAACTCTGTAGAGATCCTCTCTCTTGTCGAATTGGGAAACCCATGCCACCCTTTCCCCTTCCATGCAAGACGAGTTGGTGTTCCAACTTCTCCCCGCAGACGGAGAATCCTCGGGGTGGACAGGGGCACCAGTCTCAGTGCGGGTGAGGCAGTTTCTTTCCTTACCTGTTCTCAGAAAAAACTCCTTCCCATAGTCCAGCTGTGAGCGGAGCAAATTCACACAACCACTCTCCAGGAAGCGCTTCAAATTTTGTGCATGATTTTTCTTCTGCCACTCTTGGGCTATCATCTCTGCTGCCTTGCCAACTGCAGTCCAGGTGCTCAGGTCCTCATTTAGTGCGATGTAATCATAGCCATTGAAGACCATTCTATATTGTCCACGAATGTAGTTTGATCCAGGCAGCACATCACAGCCCATCAGGAACTGCACCGTGTGATAGCCTGCCCAAGGCCCTGCTATCAGCCACTCTCACAGGGACAGATTTCTTTGGCCCTTCTGTGGCTCGGGGCCTCCCACTTGGCCTTTACAAATGGCTGTGTTGGAGCTTAACTTGTGCAGAACACCGGGTCACTGTCCCCAGGTTCTCTGTACCCTAGTCTACGTGGGTCTCATTTTACTGGGGTAAATCTTGGGTATGGAGAACTGGAGAAAACCTTTTGGGGGTGTGAAATTTGGGGTTACTGATTTGGGTTCACTCACCAGTTTCACTTTGATTGTAGATCTGAAGCACGCTCTTAAGTAGGCTTTTGCAGGTTTCAAGTTGAAAAAGGACGTCAATAGTCGATTTTTCCCAATAGTCTGGCGGCTGCTGATCCAGCCAAGGTGCACAGTGCTCCAGCCTCGGAGTCTCTGCTCTGGTGTTGAGTCTCTCAATAAGAATGTCATCCAGGAAGACAGCACAGGCCAAGTGGGGCTCCCGGAGGTGAGGCCAGGTGAGGAGTGTGTGCAAATAGTGCAGGGAGTGTGAACCTAGGTGCGGTGGGACTTTAGACTTAGACCTCCCAACTACTGTCCTATGCTGATCCAAAGAGATGTCCCAGGAGAGCAGGGAGCAGGAGACAGGGGATAGGGGGCGGGATATGAAATAAATAAGGTACTGAGCTAGTGATGAGACAAGACTTTCCTGTGCTGCAGCCCCAGGGGTGGAATCCTTATATTTCCCAGAGTAGGTCCTTTCCCTCCTGACACCCACACTCACCCTCTGGATGCCTGGTCATGGCGAGGTTTCCCAGGATCAGCAGGAGGAGAGCCTCGGGAACAGAGGTCTTCATTTTGCTTGAAGTCTGGTCACTGAGTCTCTGCTTGTCTGTGTTCCGTTTATAATCATGATATGGAGAAGGCTATTGGCTTCTCTAAGAATTCCCAGTGGTAGTGAGAGAGAGAGAGAGAGAGCATTGTGATTGGGTCACGGAAAGATGAACTCCTGAAAGGGGAATCTCCAGGGCCCTGCTTTCCCAGCTCAGTCCCAGCTGGGACCTGGGATCCTAGGAGAAATGTGTGGGGACATATTGGTTACCCTGGTCATTTTCCACCTCACCCTGGTAAAAATATCCTCCTGAGTCCAGACCAGAAGCCATGGAGTCATCAGATTTCCCATTGAGGTAGCAGAATGTCTACAGAGTCTTAGAAATTGATTGACCCTCAAAGGTACTTATGTTTATATAGATTATATCAATCTGTGTTCACTGCATTAAGAACTGATAATTTTTAGCCTAGATAACATCTTGAATGTTGAGGTACTATCAGTACATTTACATTTTCCTCTATTAGTACATTGGAAAGAATAACGAAATGACAGACTCTGTATATCCCCCATGGACGGCCTCACCCCCCCTGGGGAATGAAGTGGGGATTGAGTGTGGGGGGGGATTAGGGTGGCTGGTGGGGGGCTGGGGGAGGAAGGAGGGAGAGGGAGCTGAGATTGACATGTGAAGCAAGCTTGTTGCTAATTTAAATAAAAAAGATTTAAAAATAAAAAAGAACTGAGAATTTTACACATTCGCTTAATTGAACATTAGTGATAAAGTGCGTATAAGCACAATGTTTACAAAAAGGAACGACTGTGTTGGAAAATACAATGATGTGGTGAAACTAATAGATGTTTCCATGTCTGCCTGTACTTACCTTCAGCTTTATCACTAGATATATCTTGGACTATGATTCTCCTTTTTCAATATTTTAGTTTCGTGTGCTGTGTAGGAAAATCACTTAACAAAAATGTACAGGAAAAATGTTTTAAGATTTATTTTTATTTTTTGTTTATGTATATGTTTACTTGTATGCATGTGAATGTTGGGAGTATGTTAGTCTATGGAGGCCTGAAAAGCCTGTTAGTACCTTTGGAGGTTGTAAGCTCCCAGACTTATGGGACTCCAACTGTGGTCATGTACACAGTTTAGCCTTCTCTCCAGCCACAGAGAGAGTGTTTCTATTAACATTTTCCAATCATTTTCTTTTTTTTCCTTAGGTTGGCCAGGAAGTCACAGACATCCACAAGTTTCTGTACCCTGAGAAAAATCCATGGACCACCATACTGGGTTCACTGGAGACGTTTATCTTTGATACTTCTCTATGTTCATTCACATATTGCTTATATTCTGGAACTTAAAATATCATCCAATCCTCCAGTTTGCTGCATCCGTGTCTGCAGGAGAATCAAATTCATTGAGATCATTTTGCGTTACAAAACTTCATTTTTGAATTTAGGATATTATTGAGCAAGTTCATCAGCGTGCATACATTTAAAAGGATATCCATCCTAAGTGATGGGCAGGCACTGAGTGCAGAGTTTTCCCACTCTGACATCCAGGATGATGCTGACTGGCTTCTCTAAGAATTCCCAGTGGGAGTGGCAGAGACCTGAAGTGTTATGGAAAGATTAACTACTGGGAGAGAAATCTCCAGAGCCCAGCTTCCCCATTGCAGATCCAGCTCTGAGCCCTGGTATCCTGGGAACAGTGTCTGGGGACAAGTTGCTCACCCTGATACCTGTAATTGTCCTGTTGACGACATTCTTCCATGTCCTAGTCCAGGTGCTGATCTGGCTGACAGAATCAAGGAAGCAAAGGAAAGCAAAGACCTATGTCTCTCACTGAAGTGTGCAGCTCTGGTCCCTGATCTGGGTTCCCATGGCCTCACTGTTATCTCATGGTTCCTTCCTAGCCCTCTCAGTCCACCTGCGATAAGCCTTAACTTCCTGGGGATCTCATCTCACAGGAGTTTGGGGGAGGCAAGGAAATGAGGATGGGAGCTGGCTCCTGGGTCAGTGGTCATACAGTTCATGTCCCCAAGAACACAGAGGAGAAGAGACAGGAGCTGAGGAGGATAATGTGTTACTGGCAGAACTCTGATGATTCCCAGCTCAGACATCAGCACAATATCTCCATCGGACACCAGGCAGTTGCCTCCACAAACCCCCAAACCCAGGCATTACCACAATACTCTGGACACGCTTGGGGGACCTTCTAAACACATCATATTGCCCAGTTTGGGTATGCAATGGCCACCATTTCATATTTCTGAGACTTAGGACACGGGTGTCCTTCCTAATAGTCTTTTTTGAGTCCTGTACAGATGTGGCCTTCCCTTGCCTCATCTGCATCCACAAGGCTATCGTTTCTTAGTTCTGACCTTATCTTGGTGCCCGAGTTTGGGGCCATGGCATGGGGCAAGCCACATGGCTGTAGAGCTGTAGCTTGAGCAAGATGAGAGATAGAAGGCAACAGGAATGCTGGATGGGGAGGACTTCCTGTACCTGAGGTGCCCCCTCCCTCCTGTCTCCAGAGGGTGTGAAGTCAGATGTCGCTCAGATTTCATTTCTCATCCATAAACTTGGTATGTGTTCCAGATGTAGAGGGGGGTTTCTGGGATTATCCAGGTTTAAGGTCTGCTAACCTTGGATGGACAGGATCAATCTCTCTCTCTCTCTCTCTCTCTCTCTCTCTCTCTCTCTCTTTCTCTTTCTCTCTCTCTCCCTCCCTCTCTCTCTCTCCCTACCTCCCTCCCTCCCTCCCACTCTCTCTCTCTCCCTCTCTCTCTCTCCCTACCTCCCTCCCTCCCACTCTCTCTCTCCCTCTCTCTCTCCCTACCTCCCTCCCTCGCTCCCTCCCTCCCCCCTCTCTCTCTCACACACCATACACACACACAAAGAGAGAGAGAGAGAGAGAGAGAGAGAGAGAGAGAGAGAGAGAAATCTCTACCACATGAACAAGCAATGTGCCTTGCCTTCTCCAGACTCCACTTTTAGGAGGCCAGCTTCTCAGATCTGCTCTTCAATGAAAGATGGAGAATCTGCCAGGTGAATGACCATGTTCCGGGCCCTGGGATTCGGAAATGGAAAGCAGGCACAATTCTCTACCCTGGAATTTTGAAAAGAATGGCTTAGTTGTCGAAAGTGCTGACTGCTCTTACAATGGACGTGAGTTCATTTCTAGGCATCCCCAAAGGTCACCCACAAACTCCTGTTACTCCAGCCTCATGGGATTTGACGTCCTCTCCTAGATTCCAACGGTACCTTCCAATTCATTGCCATGTACTATGCACACACACCTAAGTAAAAACTAAAACTAAACCATAAACCACGCACTCTGTCAATAACAAGTTTGGGTAGCTGTGAAGTTGCCATCCATGCCCAGTGGTGGTTTGTATTATTCCGCTTTTCTATTGCTGTGACAAAACTCCATGACCAAAACCAACCTGGGGAAGAAAGGGTTTATTTCATCTGACAAATTCCAGGTCACGTTTCAGCACTGAGGACGCTAGGGAAGGAATTCTTGGCAGGAAGAAGGAGGCAGGAACTGAAGCCAAACCCTTGGATGAATTCCGCTAACTGCCTAGTTCAGTGAGTTGAACCATCCCATATCAATCACTAACCAGGAAAATGCCCCTCAGACTCTCCTACTGGCAACCTGGTGGAAACATTTTACCAACTGACGTTCCTCTTCCCAGATAATCCCAGCTTTGGTCAAATATTCAAAACTAAAATGAAAAGTGAGGACATGGTTTGAATGATGACATACCTCACCGGCTCAATTATTTTCTCACTCGGTCCCAACTGGTGCTGCTCTTGGGAGAAGTTGTGGAACTCCCTGATCTGGAGCCCAGCTGGAGGAATCCCGCGTGTCCTGACAATCTTCTCACACAGCACACAGCTCACCTTCACTCTGAGGACAGGCTAAGCACCACAATGAAACAGTCCCCTGACCTGTCTCACATCCACACTGTGTATCTGTCACCTGTAGTCACCTGCCAATTGCCTCCTCCTACATGAACACCGTCCTTTTGTCTTCTCTATGTGGACTCCTAAGACAGATGAGGGACAGAGTGTTGCCCAGACCTTTGAAATCTCTCATGGAAGCAAGGCATGAGTGGAGCTTCTCCCTACCCAAATCAGTCCCGGGCCCACTCAAATCCATAGAGACAAAGGCCATGTCATGTTAGAGTCAGTTAAGCTTCTGCTTCTATACCAGAGAACTGGGTCCTCACAAACCATGTGGCGAGCAGTATAACCGACGAGCTTGGAAATTCCCTGCCTGCGCGGCCTCACTCACTTCCTCCACAGCAGTTGGGATTTGAGTTAGCGAGTCACTGATAATTTGCCTGTCTTCAATCAGGTACGCTTATGCAAATTGGCTGCATTTACTCCCTCGTTCTTCTGTCCTCTCCTCCCCTTGACTAGAGCTATATAAACTAGCCCCTTTACGTCAATAAACAATAAATGAGCTGTCCTCCCCAACACAGCCTCCAACATTGCCCTGAAACCCTTCTCCCCAGCACTTCTGCCTGGTTAAGGAGGGGATAACTAGGTCCTCAAGGTAGATCTTCTGTGGTAGAGTTCAACCAGAGCTTGTTCACAGTGGACCACTCCAGAATGAAACCTCAGGAGGGCATCGGAGAGAGCTGCTGTTTACTAGTCTTTCTTTTTTTAACATTTATTTATTTATTTATTTATTTATTTATTTATTTATTTATTTATTATGTATACAGCATATGTTTGTATGCCCACAGGCCAGAAGAAGGCACCAGATCTCATTACAGATGGTTGAGAGCCACCATGTGGTTGCTGGGAATTGAACTCAGGACCTCTGGAAGAGCAGGCAGTGCTCTTAACCTCTGAGCCATCTCTCCAGCCCCCGTTTACTAGTCTTTCTGTGTGCTGTAAGATGCTGGGTGCTGCAGTTGGTTCTGGTGCTAGGGAAACAGATGCTGGAAAACCAGACACACACACACAACACACACACACACACACACACACTGCAGGAACCTGGCAAGG